CCCCCGCCGGGAAAAGCGTGACTCAGCAGCCGCGGGCCTTGGGGCGCACGGCCGGGCGGGAAGGGCGGCATCGCTCGCAGCCACAAAATGTTCCTCTCCCAGCCGCCCTTCCCAGGGCCGCAGCGGCTGGGGCGGGAAGGGCTGGAAAAGCTGCTGGTCCAGGCTGGCAAAGCTGCACCCCTCTCTCAGCTGGGGACGCGCGGGGTTGTGTGTCCATCTCCTGTGGGACTGCGACAGCTTCTGCTCCGTGCCGGGGATCTGTCGCCTGTGCTGGTGGAAAACAGCAAACCCAGGAGCAATGTGTGGGAATGAATCCATTTTAGAGACCGGCATTCAAATTTAAGTGACTTACTCAAGACACACATAGGGTGTCTGTGGCATAGTCTGTGCTCCCTCCTTCACTCCACACCAAATACCGCTCCAGGGCAGCAGGCAGGACTTGCTGTCTTGAGAGGGTGACAGATACATGCTCAGGAGGAGAAATAAGCCAAAGAAGGGCAGATATTACTTCAAAGACCTTAGTTCAGGGCAGAGTGGGCTCAGCATTGGAGAGCCCTGTGCACTGTGTAGCTTATGGACTGCAGCCGGTGCAATAAAGAGCCAGAACATCTCCCTTTTTTGGGGGGATGCATTGCCTAGAACCCCAGGCACCGAGGAGTCGGGGCTTTGGGCTCAGCCCTTCCCCTGAGCAGTGCTGGGCACAGCAAGATCTCGGAGCGGTGCCGGCAGCTCTTTAGCTAAGTAATCATTAACAAGGCAACGTGGGATTTGAGTGGAAGTGTTCGGCTGCCGGGTGTGGTCCGACAGAGGCCGAGGGAGACCAAAGGTACTCGGCAAGTGGTGAGACTGAAGGTGCCTGGTGTGGGGTGAGCCTGACTGCCCTGCTGGAGCTGGTGGTTCAGAACATGTCCCAAGGGCAGCGGGGCACTGCTGGCAGATCACCCACACCTTGACTTTTCAAATTTTCTTTTTGGTTTTTCTTCCTCCTTTTTTTGGGCTAAGACTGCAGAAGAGCTCAGAGAAATTGGTGCCTCTCTCTCACTGAGACTGATCTGCCATTTAAGCTCTTTTTAATTTTTTTTTTATTTTTATTTTTTGGTCAAGCAGCTAAAAATACCACTGAAGTGCCTCACAGCAACCTTTCTAAACACAGATTTTCCTACCACTCTCTGCTGGTGAAAGAGATTTCCCTAAAGCCGCAGGAAGGCCGTGTCCTTGCCTCACCCCATTGTCAAATTTGCTTTGTGCCTGATCCATGCTTTTCTGCTGAGATTGGCCACGAAAACAAGCGCCTGGATACAGGCACATGTACCTTTTCTGTGCTGCAAGGGAATTCCTGATCCCCTCAAGAAAATCCCTGCTGCAGAATCCCCAGCAGTCCCCGTGGCAGGGCTGAGCCCCCATCCTCTCTGTTGCACTGTGTAGCACCCTCTGCACACCCCATCCAAGAGCTCCTGGCAAGGGCCGATGTCCAGCCTTGCAGGAGGGCTGCTGGAAACAGCACTGCAGCAAACTTGTACTCATGGAGTGCTCCTGCCAATGGCCATCTCTATTCCCTTGCTCCTGGGCACTGGAGCACCTACTTTTCCTCTCGTTTGTTTATATGGTCTTCATCCACCCTTAGCAGCACCAACAGTAATCTAAAGGAAAGGGGAAGTGGCTTTATTCTCTGTTTGTGAAGGGAGGGAGAATTTTGTTATTCAAAATAAGCTTTGTGGAAGTTTTGACACGGCAAAGCGACATGAAAGTTCTGTGGAATGGGGAACAGCCTTCCCAGTGTATTGGCTCAGGACTCCTCTGTGCTGACTTTGTGAGACAATACTGTGGGAAATCAGGACATATTTTTGTTACCACCCTTTAAAAAAACATTCATGTACCATTTGGAGGTTAGTGGTTGGTAAAAAAGAAACATATAATTTCTTGCCTATACGAATGTGATGCTGGCATGCCAAGTATCACGCTACCCAAACATCATGGAAATTCTCATTAACTTTTAGTGTCTATTTAGTTTTTAGAGATGTCAAGCAACTCTGACCCAGTACTTTCTTCATCTGGCATAGCAACTGCTGTTCTGGGTCATGCAAAATATCTGTCCACTTCAGGATCCTGTTCCCAGTATGGTTATTAATGGATGCTTAGGCTGAGCACAGGCACCCTTCCCATCCTCCGTGCAGTCACAACGTGTGGATAAATGCATGTGCTGGAGTGGTCGCTGTGCGAAGCTGCACAGGGCTGATGGCTGCAGCATAATACTGGAATACCGTACAACTTTGTTTTGTTTCTGTCCCCGGGGGTGGCAGAGCCTGCTAAGCAGGTCACCGCCAAGGGAGGGGCTGTCCTCTGCAATCGGGAAGCCCGGGCTGGGTGTGCGAGGGACCACAGCCATCTGGTGGTCAGAGCGAGCACGCAGCGCTGTGCTTTTTAAAACAACATCAGAAAACTTTTAAAAAGGGAAAGGCATTTAAAAGAATTCCTTACAGTGCTGTCTTTTTTATTTTTTTTCCCAATCATGAAGCAGTTTTTGCCAATGCAAAATGCCCAGCCTCTGCTTAAAATGATCCCTTGCAGACCTAGCAGGATGTTTTTCCCCAGGTTTCTTCTTAAAAGAAACCTTGCAAAATTTTTCAAGGTATTACTGGTATAATCTATAATACAACAGCACTAATTTGGAATCTTTCCATGCCTTCGTCCCCATTCTTTATATTTTCAGTCACTTGAAAAAGAGATACCTCATCACTGTTGGATAAATCTCAGTGAAAAGCACTGTGACCATGGCTGGCTGCACAGCTGGGAGGGGACAGGCTCACCCTAAGGGCCACAAGCAGCTCTCTGAATTTTCACCTGTTGGCCATCGATTCAAACTGACCTCACTTGGCAGACACCAAAAATGCTTTCCATCTGTTTGTCCCGTAACAAAAATAGCAGCAACCCATTTCTGTTTCACTCAAGTCTTCCTTGGGGACAGTTCCCTCTTGGCTTTGCCAGGTCCCACACAGGCTGTTTGGGGAAGTAAAACCAAGGAGAGGGTGAAGATGGGGTCTTTATCCTGAGGTGGGCTCAGGGCATCCCAGATGCAGTAAAGAGGAGTTTGAACTCCCCATACTCAGGATATTCATTCAGGGATGTCTTAGATTCTTCTTTAGGGGAATTTGCAGGCAGTGCTCCAAGGCAGCTGGAGGCACTGAGAACTTTAAGTGCTAGATGAGGCATGAACCAGTGTTAAACCATCGGCAGCGTGAGCAGGCTGGTACCCTTCATAAACGCTGATGGGGCACCAGAAACTCTTCCTTCCCAGCTGAACCAGGCAGCCTGAGGCCAGGCACTGGCCAGAGGGCTTGGCCTTGCTTGTTCTGGATGCCTTTCTGGCCCCAGAGTTACAAAACCAGCCTGTGTTCCATCATGATCCTGCTCTCGCTTCCTCCCTTGCACGTGCCCCAGCAGGGGAAGCTCAGCCACTTGGCCCTTTTGTCTCTTCAGATGACATTTTCAAATCCACTCAACCTCCTTTTAAGAATCCTTCCCACAGCTCCCACTCAGCTAGGCACTGGAGAGCTGGTATAGGGACAACTGAGGATGTCCTATGGATACCAGTGGCCCCTTTAGTAGAAACTGTATTTCTTGCATGTCTTTTTAAGTGGCTTATGGGCTGCGAGGTGGGTCTTGAGATCTGGTCACAATGCAGAGAGGGAAAGGAGAGGAGGTAGCTCATCCTCTTGCTATTTTGAGATGGCCTGTAATCACCTCCCCACAAGACTGTAGTGAAAAGCAGGGAGCACCTGCCTTGGCTCCCAGCACCCTCAGCCCCCATGCTGTTCTCCTCTCAGTACCAGTGCCCTCGCCTTTTCATGGAGAGCAAATGTGGCTGCATGGTTTCATCCCTCTTCTCCCCACAGCATCCTCCCCTCCCACACCAGCACAGACAGCACACACCATCTCTTCAAGGGAGGCTCAAGTCTTTGCTCCTTTAATGTGCAGTAAAAAAAGACAACTCTCCCACGCTCATCAAGAAATCCCACGAGCAGGAGCCCTGAGCTTGGCACCCTCCTCCTTGGCTTTCATTTACAAGTGGGCAGTGTGTGCGGTTTGCTCTGAAGGGTTTTTCTCCCAGTGTGCAGAGGAACTTCTGGCTGCTGCAGGGCTGTTGCACTGGCATGAGATGACTGATGTCTCACTTCCCCTCTGTGTTCACCAGCTGAAAGAGCTTCTGCAGCAACAGCACGTTCCCATGGGTGTAACAGTGGCGATGGAAGGGCCTCCTGCTTTAGGGGGACGCAGCTCTGTGAGCCCGGCACACGCAGCCATCCTGAGGGAGGCTGTAGCATTGGCCTGGCTCACAGAGACTCCCCACACCACGGCACGATGTGGTGGAAGGCATCAGTGGAAGTGAGAGAGGGAGGTAAGAGCACATTGGGAGGAAAGTATGATAATGGAGAATTAAATTAACTGCAAATAGTTTGCTGAAGGCACATCCTACCCACTGGGAGACAACCCCTTGAGCCTGGGGTACCGCTTGCAGTCCTGTCCAAGTCCGAGGGCTTGGATGACTGGCTGTCATGCAATGGAAGCATCTGGGCTGTGGGTAGGATTCTGGATAAACTGATGGGGAAAGGGAGGCGAGGAAGAGAAGGGGTTGTGAGTGGGAAGGTGTTGCATACCACAAGCACTTGTGCGAGAGAGATTAGAGTAACAGGGTCCCTCTACCATTAGTGTTCCTCCTCGGCCACCAGTAATGCTTCACATCCCCGTGCTTTCCAGTCTAACACTGGCAGGCAGAGGGCTGGAGATACATTCTAGGGGAGGGGTGAGGAAAGAGGCAGGCAGGAATGATTTCAGCAGCAGACTGCAGCCTCTCTTGTTTCTTGGGCAAGATCTCTAACTACCTCACTGGAGAGTAGGATTGGGGAGCTTCTTCCGGAGCTTCTTCTGCTTTGCCCACACTGTACCAGAAAAAGAAAAGCCCACTGAACTCCCACATTCTCTAGCAGCTTTGAAACCCCCCTTTACAAGTCTATTGTATGATATCCCTAAACACAACAAAGATTATCTGAAGTCTGAAAGCAACTTAAAAATAAAAACAACTCAAAGGTAAAACAGGAAGAGAATGGAGGAAGGGGACAGAGTCCTTCCTCTGCTGGCCCCTGGCTGGAGGCAAGCAAAACAGCACACACAGCCTCTTGCTCCACAGCACACCGGTCCATAGCATTCACAAGGCAAACATAGCATCATCTTCCTTTGCTTGCTTCTGATGATGGCTGGCAGCAGGAGGGGACACAGACCTCCCTGCTGAGGAGCTGGACAAAGTGGGGAGGCGGTCCGCAACTTTCGCTCGTTCTTCCAGAAATTTGTCAAACTCTGAGGGCAAGAGAAGAGCAGAGCATTACCGAAGAGGAAGATTTGTGGAAGAGCCAAAGTGCTGCCAGGAAGAGTTAAAGAAAAGGGTTGGCTGTGGCATGTCTTACCTTCACTGGTAACACCTTTTGGATCCTCTGATTCTCCCTAGCAAAGAAAGAGAAGGGCATGGTGAGAAGGAAGGTGGGTAAAGGCATCTCAGAGATGTGATTCTTTGTACACAGAGAGACAGGATAATGTTCCCCCCACTTCTACAGTACAGACATGTTAGAGGGGCCCTGAGCCTCAGTTCATTAGCTATGGCTCCCAGAAGGCTGATGATACTGTTGTGGTATCCCAAAGCTTGTGTCCCTGGCTTTCCTTCTCTGGTCCCTCCCAGCAGCCTGTGCCACACATTCAGCGATGCCAGCACTATTAGTTGTACAGTAGTTATACACTGCCTGAAGTCCAGCCCCACAGACAACTCTGGCTGGACTGCTGGTTCCAAGAAGGCAGCCCCTCACTTACCACATCAGTGGAGAGCCACTTTTCTATGTCTTCCATGAAATTGGCTTGAGGAACTGGTACCTGGAACCGAAAAAAAAGGGTGATGAGGCCAAGAAAATAGAGGATGTTCCAGTAAGTCCACTATGTAAGAAGAAAGCCCAAACCAGAAGCTCAGCCTCTTGCTCCACTGTTCAGTCAGCTCAGGCCCCTCCAAATCCAGCCACTGCCACTGCAAAGCTCTCCCAGCTACCAGTGCTATTGCTCACCAGCATCCTCTGTTCCATCCATGCCCAGACACAGTTTCCAGGATTCATGCCATTAAAAGCATCTGTGGCTTGGTGGTTGGCTTTGGGTATAACGACTGGAACAGAATTTACTTTTTGGTGAAGACGCACTCGGTGGAGGTTGGCTGCTTGTGTAGGCAGCCAGAGAACAAGAGATGTGCATTTCTCTGCACTTTTTCCCTCTACAAACCAGTGACAGTCTGATGTCAAAGTCTGCAATGCTGAAGATATTGGAGGTGCCAGGTCTGACAGCACAGTAAGGGGGAAAGACACCTGCCAAGAACTGATTCCCTGGTATGATCATGGAGCACAGCAGGATTTGATATCTCACCAAACTACTGAAACAGACCCATCAAAGAGAAAGTAATCAACAATTAAATTTTACTTCCAGTAGGGATGAGGCTAGCTCAGAAAAAATCATGGCTCTGGTCTATTTAAACAGCAAAGAGACATATTCCTAGTGGACAGAGGTAACTTTGAAAAAAACAAAGCTTAATTCAAAACCTCAGATCCTTTTCTTGAGTCAAGAGCTTCCGAACAAAGCTGAGCAAGAAGCAGCCCTTGCTAGAGGCTCCCCAAGCAAAAGAATGAGAGAGTATTTGTAGGAACTTATTTATTAGTTTTCTAATATATATAGCTCCCTTGCCCTCAGGAAGACACCAAGACCAAGAAAAAGAGTAACACCTTCGTACCAAAGACAGGCAGATTTCCTCAAACCAGGGAGCAAGCGCAGATAGTTATCACAGCTGGCAGATGGATAAATGGGAACGGAAGAGGATGTGTGAGATTAGGGAAGTTTCAAAGCAAACTAGCTTTGCCTACCCAGAGAGGATCTCTTGGGGTAGAAGTGCATTCAAGTCAACTGTACAGCATGTGGGGAAACTTAGAGCAGACATCTGCCTGAGCTGTGCCCCTTACAGGAAGACAAGGCTAACAAGCTTCAGACCCACCAGCTGTCAAAGCCTCTGTGTGCCTGAGGGAATGTAATTACAGGAATTCCTACTGCCAAAAGACCAAATTCAACTGCCTGAAAGCTCAACCACTGGCTACAGGAGGAGGCCTTCAAGAGAGTTAAAGTTGGAATGTGTTTCCCTTCAAATAAGGCACCTCATGCTAAGGAGGAGAGACCGCAAGGAGAATGAATGGTAGCAGCTGCCCTCATGATGCCACCAGCTATTGGTTCTGCCTCAGACATGCACCCCAAAACAGGCTATCCTCTAGCTCAGAGGGGCACATCTCTTTTGGCTTCAGAGCTCCTAGGATTTTTTTACACATAGGTTTACTTGAGGAAGAACTGGCACACTGCCTGCTTCCTTCCCAAACCTGGTCTCCACTACTGGCCCAGCCCAGGGTTGCTCTATTTCAGTTAGCAGTATCTGCTGATGTCTGCTGTGCATCCTCATGTGCTGTGCCAGTGACACTTCTGTTTCAGCAGTCCCAGCTTCCTTCTTCCCCGCTGGTGCTCCACAACCTCAGATCTCACCATTCCTTGACGCATCATCCACTTTGTCAGCTGGGCTCCATCACCAGAGGCACCAGACTCCCCCTGGATGACAGAGAGTCTGCATTGCAGTGTGAGGGAGAGGGGAGGCAGTGGGTTTCAGGTGAGAGAAAGAATATACTAATAATGGTGGCCTACTTCTCTGATTGCAGAGAGAAGGCGACTGGACTTGGAAATTTGCTGAAGAGGAATAAAACATACATTTCCAGGTGGAAATTTCCCTGTGGGGACATCTTTCAACTGCCTGAGGCAACCCCAGACTTTTCACAGCTCCTTACCTCAGGGCTTTAAGGAATGAGGTATGCAGCCCAGCTAGGAAATGCAGGTTGATGGAAACTGGGAGTTATCATCACTTGACTTTTTCCTAACAGACAGCACCCTTAGTGCCTTGGTGAGGCAGGAGGTTACTCCCATTCCTGGTGATGCAGTAAAAGCTGTGGCCACTTACCGCTCCCGTGTTCTGCTGCCGGGCATCCAGGGCACCAGCAAGGCCTTTGGTGGCTTGGGGGTCTTCGTACTTTACCCTGAAAGCAAAAAGAGAGACAACAGGCTGATGAGATGCCTGAGAGTGAAGAGTAGGGAATATATCTTCTAAACATACATTCGGTTCTTCTGACTGCACAACTTTTCATCCTTGTCATTCTGCTCCCAAGAGCTTCTAGAAAGGTGTGCAAAGCCCTTATTAAAAGTGTAACCCACCACAAAACAGACTAATCTGCTCACTGGAACATCATTGTGGGATACAACATCCCTGGTACAGGGACAGAAGGCTGACAAGGACTCATCTGGAAACCAAGACACAGACTTACAGAGCTAGGTGCATTAACCATGACACTCACCTTCTTTAGGGTGGACTATAAAGAGAGAAAACTAACACAGACCGATCAGAATAATACAGATATTTTAGAAAGGATTTGAGGAACAAGCCCCTACATATATATCTTTATGGACACAAACAGCTCAAAAACATCTCTTTAACTAACACCACATGACAAGTGATGGTGGCAGAGGCTCACTGGCCTATGCTGGCCATAGGCAAGACTGGATAATCACAAGAGCCTAATGTTGCTTCCAGGTCTCCAAATGCACCATTACAGCAATCTCTTTCCACACACAGTTTTATGTCACCCATAATTTCCCTCATCCCAATCCTGTGTCCCCTCTAGACTGCTACCACACATGACAATGCCACACGTCACCATTTGATCCATGCTGAGTGGGGAAAACTCTCCATGCTAGGAAAATGAAGCCTTTCACAGGAACTCTCCACAAGTTTCCTCTCCAGCTGCTCCCAGGCCCATTCCCACAGATCCAGGAGACCATCAAGTGGAGCTGTTTTTGTTGGGGGCCAGGGGCTTGGGCCACCGCCGCTCAAACTTCTCAAAGAAGTGTTCATCAGTGAAGGGGCCGCTGTGGACAATGGCATCCAGGATGAAATACAGCGCTGCTATCATGCCACTGATGAGGAAGAATGGCAGGAAAGGCTTGAAGTGCCTCAAGCACTGCCTCACTGAGACACACATGAAGCGAGGGGGGCCAGGAACAAACCCTGGAGGATCTGCCAGCACAGTCCTGTTCGGGAGCTGTAGAGCAATGGGTCTTTTGAAGTGGAGGGAGACACTGAGAGCAGAGGTTTGTGAGTGAAATGTGAAGCCTGAGCCACAAGAGGTTACCTGGCAGGAGTGCAAGTGCAGGCAGATGAAGGGCAGTGAGGAATAAATAGAAGATGTCTTGTTACTTGTGCAGAGATCATAAGCCTCAGCCTGTTAGGGACTGTGCTACAGCAGAAAGGATACAATTCCACCTCTGTCCAGAACTCCAGTACGGAGCGCATACCAGTGGCTCCGATTTCAGCCTCAGATTGGGTGCTGTTGGTACAACTGTTTCTGTGCTGGACTGCCTCTGTCCTCAGGCAGCACAACCCACAGTAAAAGCAGTGGGGAAACCCAGGGAGAAAACATATGAAGTCGTGAAGGCCATGGGTTTCCCCACTACATTTACCAGAACAGTCTGAGGCAGAGGAATGGAAGGAGACATTGTTAAGAGACCTTAACTTGCTACTGGCCAGCTGCAGGACAAGATATTCCAGTGGCTGCAGGAATGCAGGAGCACAGGCCTTGGAGGGCTGGAGGCAATGATGTACCCATGGGCTCTACTGCTTGATACTCTATGAAGAGCAGCAAATGGCCTTGCCAGGCAGAGCAGCATGAGATCAGCCACAGTCTCTAAACCCAGAAGATCTGGTCAGCACAGCTCTTGTCAGCTCCTCCAGAACAAGGATTCAGGAATCCACTCTGCAGTGGAGAAGACCTCTCCAGTTCAGCCAGTACTGTGGAGACTCAACTATTAGGGCTTTACACCAGGAGGTCTCAAACACACCATGGAGGAGGAAACAGCAGTCCCACTTGCCAAGAGGGAAGCTGAAGCACAGAAGAGTGCCCTCTTGCAAACCACAACTGACTGCACTCTTCCTGTACTCCAGCTCAATATTCTGTTAGGCTGAATCAGTAATCAGTGATTCCCAAATTCAGTATCACCCCAGTCAGCATGTGGGTTCAGAGGCAGACAAGAAAACTGAGCCAGCCCCACTTCACACCTTCATCCCCAGACACTGAATCTCCCAGAGTATGCGGCACTGCAACGCTCACATGCAGGGACCAATTCCATCTCCCCATACCCAGGAGGATGCCATGAAGGGGAGATGATGGCAGCAGGAACAAGGACTGGGATCATAGATCTCATCCTACAAACACTGTGTGTGTGAAGAGTGCATTTTTGTTTCATCCTACTGTCTCCCAGGAGCTGCTCCCAGGAGCTTTCTCCAGGAGCTGCTAGTTGGGGCATGGCCCCATTTTCCCTGAGCCCTCATCCCTTGCCAGGAGGCAGGATGGGACAGAGCGAGCTGCTCCACTCACCCTCTGCGCTGCTCAGCCAGCGAGCTGCCACGGGTCAGGGCAAACATGTCAAAGTCTTCTTCCAGCTTGCCAGAAGTGTCGAGGGACTGCAGCCCTGCACTTACACTGCTTGAGCCCAGGTCTGTGGGAGAGAGAGCAGGGTGAGCAGGCAGTACAGAACAGTAAATGGAGAACTGTGGGCTTAGAGAGTGTTGGATAGAGAACTGTCATCAGAACAGGCTAAACTACTCTAGGCCCACTCCTCCATCCTGCTCCTCAGCTGCAGCACAGTCTATGCATGTGTGCAGTTGTAGGTGAAGTAACAGAAGCTGTTTCTTTGCCCACTCAGTAGATATTTTTGGCTCAGTTTCACACAGAAGCAGCAGTATCAATTTACTGATGCTGAAGGCCAGATATTCCTGACCATTTTAGACAACTCCAGAGGGAATTACTCCATAACCTATGGAAGAAAGTAACCTGTGCTTCTGGGCAAGCACCTCTGAGACAGATGAGTGGATTTTCATGACTCAGGCATCATCTGAAAAAAACACTTCTCAGCTGGCTTGTCTGTAAAAACAGTCTGATGCCAATTTTCTGCAACTGTATCCAGGCAGTGCTATGTAGGCTGTTGGTATGTCTCAAAGAACTCCCAGGACACATTGGGCTTTTTGAGTAAACAACCTGTCAAATCCTGCATCCTGAACCCAAGATGCTCATGGCTGCCTTTGCAGCAGAACTTCAGATGCTCTGCTTCTCCCAGACCTCAGTGGTCAGCCTGACACCACACAGCAAGAGAGAAAAGCAGGCAATGCTGCCAGGCATTGCAGAGGGAGCAGCTTTATCCCCAATCCTGGCTGGAAGGCCAGGTCCTTAGCCACAAACTAATGGCCACGTCCTGCACAACATGAGGTGAGGATACTAAGACATATGCTTGAGTGCCTTGGGGCATATACAGGTTTCTTCATGAGTTTATTAGTTGAAAACACATGGCATTTTTCTAGGTTACTCTAGGAATCTGACTAAATAATTTTGGGAGATGAGTCAAGGGCAGGAAAGGATTTTCAAAGCAGTGCAGGAGAAAGACTCAGGAGAAAATCACATGGCAACATACTCATTCCAGCCAGCTGAGAGGAAAGGTTGCTGGTGACTTCAGGCTGTTTCAGTGCTGAAGGAGTACTGGGTCCCAGGTCAATCAAGCTGTTCTCTGCCTCATTTGGTGCCTTTGGAAGAAGAAAAAAGAAGCTGGTGGAGAGTTTCTGACCCTGCAATCCTAGCTCATTGATACTGGAGAGGAAAGCCCCTCTGCACCTTCTGAAGAAGAAGGACAGTGATCAGAGAACTGGTTGGCCATAGTGTCCCAGGGCAGCATATGCCTTGGTAGCCAGCCTCCCAGATCTGCTGGATGTCAATAAGTAGGGCAGATGCTGGTTCAGAGGACAGGGTAGTGCTCAGAGAACGCTCATATGGGAATGGGAATCTCACTATTCAATAACTGGTGCTGCTGCTCTGCTCTTGCTCTTTGGGCAGGGCAGGAGAGGTTAGCAGTGGGAAATGGGGTGTCCTGCACACCAGGTGCTCTGGTGCAGCTTGGCTAGGACAGCAAAGCCTACCATTTCTAAGTGGAGCAGACTGAACCTCCCTCCAAGTCAGCAGGGCACTGCTGGACCTGCAGGATGCAAACCAAGCTGCACAGAGGGGCAGTTGCTCTGAGTTACCTTAACAGGCTGTCCTGTCCGAAGTCGCTCAAACCTGTAAGAAAGATGACAGGACGAATTTCAGTAGTGTGGGCTCATTCACCCACAGCAACAAAAAGAGATTTATAAGATTTGGCACACACTGCCCTTTCCTACCCACTAGGAAAGGGGAACAATGGCTCAGGGCCCAATTTTCCCTCAAGATACCCCAAAAAGACCCACAGAGTTGATGTCTCCTGAGAAGTGGTGTAAGAAAGTTTCTTAAGATCTTTCAGAGTTACTCCTAACCAACAGCTCTCCATACAGTTCATCTGAGGATGAACTCCCCAGACTTCATCCCAGCAAAGAGATGTGTTTGTTGAAATGGAAGGGGAAAAAAAGAGATATGCTGATCCCACCTGGGTGATTTCTTTCTGTTGCCATCTGCCTCAGAGCTAGAAAACCAGCTCTTTCTATGCACTTGCCTCCTTCTTTTGGGTTATGCCACAGGGACATCTTTATACCCTATCAGGAACTGACACAGCAGCTTTGAAAGGACAGGAATTAGTCACCAAAAACTGAGAACAGGCTTTGTTCTCAGAGATGGATGATATAGACCGATACATCTTGAGTATTATACTCATGGGCAGATCAAAAGGGTGGGATAGGCAGTCTTCAAGGGCTTGTAAAGTTTTGTGGGAGAGCAGGGAAGAGAAGGAAGGAGAGAGGTACCTTTCATGGCGTAGAAACACGTTATTGAGGTTGTCATTGATGATGAGCAGCTCCTCAGTGAGTTGCTCATGGAGGACACGGGGAATCAGCTCCAGGACTCGCTGCTGCATGGCTCTGCATGTCCGATTCAGCTCCTGTTCAAAGCAGGGCAAGTGACCACAGAAGTCACACAATGGCTGAGCACTCACAAATTTGGAAGTCTGACTGGAACACAGACCCCAGAGGCTACTGGGATCTATCAGGGACGGTTGATGGGCAACAAATATTGGTGTGAGAGATAAATTGAATCTGAGGTTTACATGGAATAATTGTATGTTTTTTGTGTAACACATAATCCAGAAAGAAAGGTCCTTGGGGACGGCAGGTTCCCCTGTGAGATAATTCTAGCCTCAGTAATGTGATTTCCATCCACCACTGAAAATCCACTTTCCTCGTGTCTCCCTTATCCCTTCACTCCCTGACAAGCCCCACACTAAACTGTCCAGTCATTCCCCACACCTGGCATGCATTGGGCCCCAGTCCATCAGGTCATTGCTAAATTGTGTGCATGTGCCAGCCCTCCACCCTGCCCATTGTTCCTTACTTGCAGCAGCTCCAGGTCAGAAGGCTCTGCCTGGGACGGCACCAGCTCTGTCAACATCTCCGACATAACCTTTGTGTTCCCATTCACCACTTCCAGCTCACTGCGCAGCTTCCTGATCTGCAAAAGCAAAGTGAAGTGACAGCTCTGCCAGGGGAGGCTGGGGACATGGCTGAGGTAGCTCTGAATGGCAGGGAATGGCACCACATGGCATGCATGTGTGTGCATGCCTGTTCACAGAGCTGGAGAGAACAGCCTCCAGGGAGTTCATTTGTTACCACTCATTTTAGCTCTCAGAAGCTCCCAGCAGGAAACCTCTCCATTACTTACCATCAAATTCATTTGCTGGTAGCAGATGCCAGGCCCTCACCTGGGATCTTTGGCAACTAGTCTAGCCTTGATTTTTAATAGCCAGCACAGGCTGTTGGTATGATTCAAATCTCTCCTCAGCTAACAGCTCCCATGTGGTAGCCATTTAAATTGTATAATTTTGAGAGTGGTGTAAGAGAGGGGAAAACAATTAATTCCCATTCTACAGGAGAGCCTCAGCTAAGTGTGCAGTTGAAACTTTAGTCCTCTGGTTTACAAGGTGCTAATGAGCCTCTTTAGAACAGACCCTCTACCCTCTGTTCTGTAAGGGAATGCAAAATACTGGCAGCTGGGGATTTGGTGCTGAACATGGTGTCATATGAAATCAGGGTGAGGAAGGAGAAAAGAGGATGGGGAAACAAGTGAGGAAGCCCTAGCCTTTGGAAACCACATAGCCACACAAGGTTGATTCATATAAAGTAAGCTGTGAGGCAAGACAAACAAAGATGATGAGGAGGCATTATGTCTCAGCTCCCCACTTCCCTCTACCTGCAAGCAGCCCTGTCTGAGGGAAACATAACCAGTCCATTTGGGTTGCGGTATCCCAGTTCATCAGTGTAACCACAATGGAGTTCTGGGGAGCTCTGGAAGGAATGTGCTTTAGAGGAACAGCTCCTTGAAGACAGAGGCCAGAGCGGGAGCAGTACTGCAGTCCCAGAACAATGATTGTGAAATAGCCTCAAACACAGGAATAGTCAGCAACGTCCTGGGACTTGTGTCCAACTCACCTGCTCTGGTGTGGGTGTGATGGGTGCGTCACTGGATGTGCCTCTCCCAGGGGGCAGGGTGACAGGGTGGAGGATGGACTCCATCTGCTGAGGGGAGTTGACTGCAGGTGAGTTCTGCCCAGATTGAGAGTTGGAGCTATAGACAGTCTACAGACAAAGGTGGGGAGAGAGACAGAGAGAAGGAGATGTTAGACACACTTGACAGGGCAGTGCAACTAGAGGAGAAATATTGATGTCAATTCCCCATCTGGTTCCAACAGCTCTTGGCTGTCCTGGAGCTTCTCACCACCCAAAAGCCCTTTAAATTCAAGACAGAATTCCTGAAATCCCCTCAGTACTCCAGAATGGCAGCCGCCCAACATTCTTCTCTTCAGCAATACTCACATACCCTCTGTGGTGTGTGGATGGGTGACAGCATGTCCAGATCAGTCATGGGGAACTCCAAACCCTTCCGTCTCAGGTCTTCATATACAGCAACGACACCAGTCAAGTCCGGAGAGCTGCGGAAGGCGTCTGCCCAGGACTGGGGAGAAGGAAACAGTACAGCTCATCACCAAATACAACAGCCTTCTGTACAACCACCTAAAGACACACACTCTCCGGACTGGTGCAGATGCTCACACTTCTTGCTCACCTGAATGAGGGTCAGCACCTTGTCATGCACTATGGCAGGTGGATTGTTCTTTGGCAGGATTGTTCTCACCAGGACACCTTCTACAAAGTCCTGGCTGGACACAAGGATGTGGAAGCGGTGGCCACAGTTCTTGACGCAGGTCTCCAGGACCTTCAAAGGCAATAAAGCATTAGCTGTAGCCTTCTCTGCCCTCATGTGTTACCCTTGTTGGTTTTAGGTACATGTGTCTGTTCAGCATGTGTGCTAGAACTTGTGTTCAGCACTTAGCTTTACAGCAGGGTATCAGAGAGCAGAGAAAGATACCCGACCGCTCACCGTCAAAGCCAGCATAACTTCATGGAAGTTCTTATTCCCTACAATTCTCTTCTTAATGGCTCGGAAGGCATCTTTGGGCCTGAAGGAGAAATGAGATGAAGAAAGATCATCAGAAGGTTAAGGCAAAGGAAAAGAGCCACAGGTTCTGGATGCCTCATACTCAGCGAGTGTCCCTCCTCACCATGTTTTCAGGATGACTTGAAGCAGTGACTGGTAAAGCAGCTTTTGCTTGTGCTTCTGCAAGAGGAGTGGGGTTGGCTGATCACAGAACCATTTAGGTTGGAAAAGACCTTTTAAGGTCATTGAGTCCAACCATAAACCAAACACTGTGAAGTCCACCATTAAACCATGTCCTTGAATGCTGTTACTGAAATTAGAGGCCTCTGTGCTGATGTCTGCAACAGCTCAGGGTGTTCAGGACACAACAGAGAACACAGTAAAATCAATACTAGAAACTCCTGGGGGATAGAGCAAAATCCCATGGCAGAGAGACTGAAGAGGAGATCACAGAAGAGCTTGGTGTGGGTTAGAAACAGGAAGGAGAGATCAAGCTGTGGCAATTCCTGTGTTACTCAAAGGAGAGCCATTTAACATTTCCATGGAGAGAAGGAGGCTCAAAAGCTGCAGGGGAGATACAGGGGCAAAATCTTGTGTATATTGGAAGTGTGTAGGAGAGCAACAGCATCGCAGGGCCTCATTAACCATTCTCAGAGGGGAGAAACCCCATGGTCTCAGACCACTGTGGTCTTAAGAGGGCACAAATGAACCAACATGTTCTTGCAGAGCACAGGAAGAGAAGCTGAGCTGGAAGAGAAGCTGCAGGAGAAAAGTGGGGTGGACACACTGAGGCAGTGAGGAGGGCAGAAGTGTATTGGCCTGTGGGGCAGCAAGGTGCCAATGGGTAGGCACTAGCAGGGCAACAGGAGAGCCTGTCCAGCTGTGTTATCAGGTGCTCAGATCTGAAAGAAGTGGCCACAGCTCAGGCCTGAGCACCGTGGACAGACACAGGTGTATTTGCACCGTGGGGATAGCGGAGAAGGAGTGCTGACAGATTGTAAGTAGAGATGTTTGACTTTGTTTCCATACATCTGTGAAGATGAAAACTGGGCTCGCTAATCCTCCGTCAACATCACTGTGGGGTAGGACAGCAGGAGTGAAACCTGTAGCACCTTCTTTTTTAAATGCTGTTCTTGACATCTCCACTGTGAGAAGGAGCATTCTCCCTTGAATTCCCTGGCAAATCCCCAGCTCCTGAATTACCAAGTCTGGCAGATTGATGAACATCTTCCTGCAGGGAGAGGGAGACAAGATCTCCCCCACTCACTTTGTGTGTGTTTCAGTGACTGTACATGAAAATACCTGAGAAGAAACTCAAGAAAGACTGGCACAGTGAGAGGACTGAATATCAGCCTGAGATTTTCCCCTCTTCTCAGTCACCAGCCCTTAGATTTTTACATTCCCAGAGGAGAGAAAGAGAAGGGTATGAAGGGGGAATAAATCAAAGTGGAAGAAATGCAAATATGCCTTCTGGAGATGGGAGGCAGCCTGGCTTGAACAGAAGGTTGTCTGGGGACCCTGAAGGCCCATTTGAATGGCTCCTAGTGCTCACCAAGATAATACAGAAGCATCTAATAAATGCTCTGACAGCTTTGCTATGTCTCTAGGTCTCCTAGCAGAGCCTTGTCTCAGGGATTGCTGGGAAGCCTAGCTAATTACCTCCATCAGTGCAAACTACCATTGCAGCCTAGGGATGTGGTGTTACAGGAATGCAGGGACCTGCTGCTGGATATGGGCCCTTGTCAGCTTTCTTACCCTTCTTCAGTCTCATTAATGATGTCACAGATCTCCATGTTGAGAGCCCAGTCCTCACTCCGCAGGGACCCATCGGTAGCTCTCTCTGGAAAACAGAAACCAAGACAAGGTTAAGAGCAGCCCTGGCGCTTTTCAGTTAAGCTCTCACAAGACCACAGACCCCAGCCTGCTTCTCCCCGACTGCCACTACAACATGCAAGGAAACAAATCCATATGCAAATGCCGGGTCACCAGGTGTTCCCCACTAGGTGTCACCAGGGCAGAGCACACTGCTGGGATGGTGAGTGCCCAGCTCTGCCCATGCCACCAAGGACCACTGACACACAAACACCTCTGGTGTCCTGCACAGAAAGAAAAGGGGCTCAGCATGGCTTCAGTTCCACAGATGGAGAAAAGGGGGCTTGTTTGCTTTGTTACTGCAAGGTGAAAAATCGTGAGTTCAGCCTGCTCACACTGATACGGATCTAATGCCAATAGCTCCAATTCTTAGTCTGTATCACAAGGAGATAAAAGAATCAACCTCCCTTTTTTTTGTACACCAGCTCTATAAAAACAAACAAGCAAACATAGAAAGCCAAAGCAGAGTTTCTCTTGTTTAACATTTACACCTCTCCCCTGAACTTCTGGCCTCTAGGGAGTGTGGGCAGAAGCAAACCGCAGGCTGAAGTTGAAGCAATATTGTTCCAGCTTTGACTGTGTCCCTTTTAATTAGGAATTCCTCAGTCAGCTTTGATGTTATTTATTCAAGGCAGAGATTTGGGAAATGAGCAGCTATTACTGGGAGCACCAGTGTCTCCACCCTGTAATCATCCATGTCTCTGTGCTAGCCATGCCATTGACTGATGCCTTCAGGGACACCACCAGTAGCTAGGGAAAGAACTGCCAGTGGGGTGAGCAGGACCCAGGCACTCCCCAGACCACAGGGAAACACAGAGACACAGCAAAAGGCAATCAGAGGACAAGAACCATCCTTTCCAGCTCTCTCATCCTACAAAACACTTAGCACTGGGGCAAGAGAATTAAAACTGGCCAGACCGGTTTAGCACCTACCAGGTGCTCTTCAGGAGATCTCAGTACCAGCAAGGTGCTTAGAGAAGTGCCTGCATTTTCAGAACTGCTGTCCCTGCAAAATCTGGGGCTGTCCCTTGCTGCTGTGGGTCCTCTACCCCTTTTGAGAGGTCCTTCCTCTACAGAGCTGCCTTTTTCTACTTTTGACCCAGCAGCTAATGAACCCTGTGTGGGAATGAAATTAAATCCCCGTTCAGATGGTAATGGGATAAGGCCATAACGCAGGAAGAAGACGACTTTTTAATTCCTGCCTGGGTGAGCACATCCATCATGTCCTGTTAAGGGTCAGGCACAGAGCTGCTCACACCACTGTGCAATGCAGCCTCTTAGAAACGTGTCCCTTCCGTAGACTGCACACCACAGTGTGAAGCTATCTGGATCTTATCACAATTCAGCCACCACCTTTTCTGTTGGCTACGGAATGCATTGATTACACAGTGATTATGCTGATGACATTGTGGCCACAGCCACATGGAAGAGGGCAGAGAGGGAAGGAGAGTGGCAGAATGTTCTTGATGCTCTTCCACCTTTTTAAAGGTCTGGCTATTATTGGAATAACCTTAAGGCTCCTTGATTCAGGTAATCTTTTGTCACTTTGAGTATTAACTTTACATAGGGATTCTGATCTCTGGCAGATCCAAGCTTTCTCAGCGAGGCACAGGAGGAAGGACTGCACTGAGAGATGTGGTGGAGAACACATTCAGGGCAATGGGCATGCACCAGGGCATGTACCAGTCAATGGGGGAACCTGTGGTAACACATGAGGGAAAATGTTTTCCATTGGGGCTCCTTTGGAATCAGGACTCACAATGTCAGAGCTCCAGGTTTCCTCCTGCCCTGGGTCACCAGCCTTGCAGGTGGGCAGGCAGGTTGTGACTCAGGTCAGTCTGGTGGGTTTGGCTCACATGGTCACAAAACCCCCCTCACTTGTGCTCTCCTCCAGGATACCCTGCTCATGACACATCATGGTTTGAACAAGCCAGAACTTTCCCTGCACTGCTGGAACTGCCAATGAATCACAGAAATCCACTACACAGGGGTTGCTCTGCTGAAAAGGTCTACATCCACTCTTTCTCACTGCACACAGAAGGAAAAACCCACAACTTAGGAACAGGGCTGAGCCTGCTTGGAAGCTCTGAGCTTCAGAAGAAACAAAGGACAAAATAAAATCTTCATTTAACCATCAATCCTTGCTGTTCAAATCTCCCCAGCCTTCCTTCTCATTGTACACAAACATGAACTGAATCTGCAAACACCCTTTCCTCGCTCTTCAATGTTAGGTGGCACGCTGTAACCCGCTCACCACCACCCTTTCCCTCCAAATGCACCAATCTTGCCAAGGTCGAGCAGCAGGTTTGCTTTTCAGAAAGGAATGTAAATAAACCATGTGTGCTCCTTCACCTGGCTGGCCACCTAGGGGAAAACTGGGCTTCCTAAGAAATGACACACCTGTTACCTGCCCCTGTTACCCCACAATACGGTGATCATCCTGCTACTGTCACCCCAGTTCATACACTCATCAAGGGAGAGCTGCAGGAAAGCAACAAAAGTGCCATAAACACAACACAAAATGCAAAGCTGGAAGAGCAGTATTAGAGCATATGGGAAACAGGAATGTGACCCTGAGGCAATTCCAAGGACAAAATGCTTGAATTTACCCAGTACAAATTAAGGCCTGGCCTAGCTGGCATTGGGAAAGCTGGAGCTAATGCCCTTCTAATCCTCCTTGCTCTCTTCCAAGCTGTAAGGGACTGTCCAAGCCTAGCAAGATATGGAGTTTTCTCCAAAATCCTGAACTTTGCTCTTTCGTAAAGCCTGCAGAAGGGAAGGAAACAAAGCCTAATTAGTCACATGAAAGATCAGGGTGGCTGGCCCCATTTCATGAGCTGTAATTAGCACATGAGCTGTCTGCTCCGCACGAAATCTGAGCCCAGGATGGCTGGGGACAGCGACAAGTCCCTAAAAAGAGCGAGCACGGGAGGCAGGGCACTGCCACACGCCCAGCATTCTGCTTGGTGGGACTCATCAGGCAGCACCAACTTCTGTGTGTTACCAGCTGAGCCTGACCTGCAGCAGAGAATTCCCCTGGCAGAGGTTATTGCAAGTCTGTGAATGGCATCCCCCTCCAAGCCCCAAACCAACTGGCTGCTGAATATACAGGAGGCCCTTCATGGGGCTGCTCCAAAGCCACATTGTTCTGGCAGCCAGTCTGGCTCCCCGGGTGTGACAGCACTGGGGTTTGTCTGATTCCAGTCTGCTGCCTCACAAATTGCTCAGATTGACCCAGAACCACGCAGGACTGTGGTATGGGTTGAACCAGAGCATCATCTCTTTTCCTGCATGGCACTGGATGTGGTCCTGCTGACTGCAGCTAGGTGATAAAAGTTATTTGGAACCAACAGATAACAAAGAACTCCAAACACTTGGCATAACTGGCACAAAGGAGCTGTACATTGCTTTGTGCTATGAGTACATTTCAAACTTTGCTTCTTTTCAAGGTTATTGCCCCTGGTGGCAGGAGAGAGCACACTGTGGGGTTGGGGATCCCACTTAGCTGTCCCTGCAGCAGCACACCAACACTGCAGTCAGTAGTTTGTGGGAGTACAGGAGCCAGGGACAGAAGGTACTGTGCAGGCTCCTGTCCCCTTTGCTTCCCATTCCAGATCTGAAGCACCCATAACCAGCCAGATGCTGCTCAGAAATCCTTTGCCAGTGGTATGCTCTCCCCTCCTCCAAGTGAAGCCTTCAAACAGTGCTCCCTGCAGTGCTTCTTGCTGGCTCTAAGTTCCTCAGCAAAGCATCAAGCACCTTCTCACCCATGTCAACAGGCTTTTGAGGGCACAAGCGGTTCATTGCATGAGACAGCTTAAGTTCAGCAGAAAGCAATGCAAGATGTCCCTTCTCCCAGCTTCCCTTCAGTTCACAAACTCACAGGCCCAAATCAGCATCCTGTACAAGCCTCATGCTTTTACTCCCTTTGAGGGAACTTCAGCACCAGCTCTGTCAGGACTTTACCATTTAGCTGTGTCCTTCGCCAGAAGCCTGAGGACAGCGTGCATTCTAGAGAGACCAGAGATACGACTTCAAACCTAATTCAAGGATGGTGATGGACACAGACTGCGTTGACATAGTGGTGTGGGTATTTGTGTCTCTGAACTCCTGCTCCTTTCCTGTGAATCAGCTCAAATTCTCAGGGATCAAGTGACTTCAACCGCTGCCTCTGCTGCTTTTCCTCCAGACAGAGCAGGCACAGAAGACAAGGCAATGCCTTTTTGAGAAGCACAGCCTTGCAGGGATCCACAGAGGGGTGCAGGAACACCTACAAGGTGGGATCCAAAAGGTTGTGGGGATTTTTCTGGCATATTGTTTTGCATCTGCCTCTCTTCCTCACCCAGGAGCCTTTCTTACTTGCTCTGTCTTTACAGTCTCAACTTTTCCTGGTCCACATGCTTGAAATAACTCCCATCCATAAAAAAATCTGTGTCATCTCTGTGCTACACCGTTACTTCTATCCCTTGCCTGCCCTCACTCACTGAAATAACCTGCCTCTGTCCCTTTTGGTATTGCTATAATTACTAGTTATTTTAGACTTCTAGGGTGAGGAGAGAGCATTGGTGGTTTCTTCTCCATTCTCTCACTCAGAGAGAATTCACCTCCTTGAAATTAGATTTTCCATTTTGAAAAAAGCTTCTTCTAGATGGAGGCATAGTGGATTTCCCTTCTGAGGGGGTAATCTGAACTATGATGCTTTATCAGTCTTTGGAAATTTTCCCACTGGTGTTTAAAAAAAACCCAGAAATAAATTAAAAAAAAAAAAATCCAAACAAGCAAGTCTGTATTCTTCTTATTTGGGAAGAGACATCATGGCACAAAACCAGGACAGAGACAACTTTTGTGACTAAATCTCAGAACTGTGAGTAAGAAACTAGAAGACCTACTCCTCTGCAAGTGACTCATTCTGTCACAGATCACTGAGATTATCAGAGCATTGCTTTCCTAGTCAGTGAAAGAAATGGGTCTTACTAGATTAACATTAATGAAGGAATTTGAGAACATTGCTGCGGTGTGCCACAGAGGATTTTTTTTTTTATTCCTTAGTCTTCATCTATTTTAGACTTCATAAGCTATATCAAGCATACATGACTTTGCCCAAATAATTTACAAGGACGCACCATTATCTTTCTGTAGACAGCCCAGGGCAGCAGCACTGTGCAGGTTTGGTGATCAGGCTCACAGGTTGGACATGCAGCTGCCACAGACCTACCAAACGAGTTTGGGGAAGTTGTGTTTGCGTCCCAAATTAAGTAGGGAAGATAGCATTATATCCATGTTCCCAGGATGTTGATAAGCAATGCACAAAAGGAGAAAATATTCATATTTTCAATCACCAGCCCTTTCAAGTTGTCCACAGAGTTCCTTTCCCATATGCTGTACTCCCATAACCCCAGTGAACCCCAGTCAGTAAGATCTCCCTAGTATCACACCTCTGCTTCTCAGTTCCTCTCTGACAACACTTTTGAAATACCTTTTATTTTTTCCTCTTCTTTCCTGTTGCTTTGTTGCTTATTTAATTGAAACAAAGCCTAGAGGTATAAGCCACTTACAACCTGGTTACTAAACTGACCAGAAGATCTGTAAGGCAACATTCAGATTGCCTCCACCCAAACACAAGGACACATCTGATACACTCACCGAGGGAACAAAGAGCATTCATTCGGGAAAGGGCAGGATGAAACATGTGATGTTCCTCTGGGGGTATGCTGAAGATCATCTGGAGAATTTTGGTAACAGAAAGTCTTCTATGATGATTCTTCCACCACCTAACTGTAATGCTTCTCACCTATCTGTCCCAACACCAGAGTGGCACATCACAATGCCCCTGACACACTTTGGGACAGTGTTAAGGTAGCCCCTAAAATCATTATAATAAAAGCATTACTTAGAGCAGCTCCTTGCTCTCTTCTCACCTCAGGCAGAGCCTCCTATTCACCCATGTAAGGACACCAGAAAGATTTAATATGGGACTGGATGTTCACAGCAAAGAGCAAAGTCTGACAAGCAACGAACAGCAAGAATGAGCAAGTGAATAAACTTACAAGCAGAGAGTTTAAATGGGAATCAACCTTCAAGCACAACTTCAAGGCCCTTAGACAAAACAACATGGGAACAGAGAGTCTTCATCCTAAGCATTTTAAGAACCCTGTCCTGACTCCAGTGCAGCTGTTGACAGTCTTCTTCTCTCTAACTGCGGCATCTCAGCACGACTTTCTCAGGCCACATCCTTCTCCCACGTTCCACAAGCTGCCCTGGGCACAGGCACTGCAGGACACCACAGTGTCCCTGGGCCTGCCAGGTGACAGGGTGGGTGCTGTGTTCACTGCCGGAGCTGCTGCTCCATGCTGTGAGCCAGCAGGAGCCAGGGCGCAGCACTGCCAGGCACCGCTTGTCCCACAGCCCAGTGCAGGGAGGCTCAGGGCGGGCAAACACTCCCAGCTGCCCAGCGCCTGACTCCTTCGGGTAGGGGACATGGGTCCGACTGGGTGAGCTGTGTGCCCCAGGGCCAGCCCAGCCTAAGGCTGCTGTCCCCACATCCCTCGCTGACCCTGTCCCTCAGCCCCGCAGCCCCCACATCCCTCGCTGACCCTGTCCCTCAGCCCCGCTGTCCCCACATCCCTCGCTGACCCTGGTCCCTCAGCCCCGTTGTCCCCACATCCCCGCAGCCCTCGCTGACCCTGTCCCTCAGCCCCGCAGCCCCCACATCCCTCGCTNGGGGCGGCGGCTGCCGACGCAGGGCGGTGTGCGAGCCGACGGGTCCCTGGCCCTGCTGGCCCCCTTAGCCCCCGGCCGCAGGAACCGAGGGGCTCCCGGCGCCGAGAGCCTCCGCCGCTTTCCGCAACCACGCCGAGCTCGTGCAGAATACTCGCGAGCCTGAGCGGTGCCCAGACCCTGGAAAGCCCGTGGCGATGGGCTTTTAGTTTTGCACAGCCCGGTGTGGGAGCGTACTCGTAGGAGTTAGGAAGAAATTCTTTACTGCGAGGGTAGTGAGGCACCGGGACAGGGAATTGTGGATGCCCCATCCCTGGAAGTGTTCCAGGCCAGGCTGGATGGGGCTTTGAGCAAATTTTTTTGTAGAGATGTCCCCTGTCTGTGGTAGGGGTGTTGGGAATGATCCTTAAGGTGCCTTCCAACCCAAACCATCTTATGTCTCTCCACAAGGTGGTTGGCACGTTCTGGGACGTGTTCCTGGCCTAAGCAACTGCCCTGCCCAAGCTGAGGCTGCAATCAACCAACACCCATACCTGGAAAATGGGGACGTGTTAATAACCGGCACAAAACCTGCTCTAACACTGCCACGCCTGACATCCTGAATAACACACTCGAGTCCTGTGTATCGGTGTCACCTGAACGCCATGAACCCAAACTGAGGTGAGGCAGCAGTGCTCCATGCCACATCTCCCTTCTGGGGGTTCCCAAGCAGTCAGGAACCTGAGCGATACTTTGGGTGTCTGGTGCTGCTGGAAACAGTACATCTTGCCTGCTAAGGGAGTGAGTTAAGCAGGTTTAAGATTGGATGTGTTTTGCTGAGAAACTCTCAATACAAGCAGTAACAACAGCTGCAGAAAACAGCACATGCCAGAAATGAACGACAATACTCCAGAAGTTAAAAAAAAAAATTATATTGTAAGTACAGTACAAAAAAGTTTGTGTAGAATTGTAATGTAATCTGGACCAAACAGCAAAGAAATAACAAAAATATAAAAACTGCTAAGTCTTGACAAAGTTTCCCTATAGTACCAAATACCACAAGATACAGATTATACAAAGTGTACAAATTTTAATAAAAATACAATACACCAGGGTCGTGCGTGTTTTTCACTCCTCAAGAGTTTTCTGTTGTACAGAGGACAAAGCTAAAGATGATCCCCTTCTGTTTCTTCAGAAGCAGATCTACCCCTTCACCACAATGCTCTCAACTGTAAAGGGCTGGAAAGAGCCGGTTATTTTGTGCTGCTCACAACAGCAGATGCTTTAATATGGGCCAGGACATGAAGCACGACTGGACTGCCTCTCTCCTGGGCCCTTCCTATTTCCAGGCTCATTGAGATTTGTCCTAAGCTGTTAAAACATGTGTTCTGGCCTGGTGGTCTGAGAACCTTCTGCACCTCCCCTGCTGAGAAAACCCCTCACTGCACTGAGAAAAGATCCGTAGGAGACAGACTACCTTGTACAGGCACATCTGTGGAATACGTGGCAAAGAGGCATGGGGAGAAAAACCCTCCTCCACACCCCAGGATTTAATTCTGATTTGTGGCTCAGCCACAGTGAAGGACAGGTTACTTTCAACTGTCCTAAAAACCAGAAACTAGACTTACTTGGAAGTAAAAAATGCCTCTTCTGTAATTTTAAAACTTTTCTGTTACAGAGCTGATAAGGCCTGAGTCAAAAGATATTTCAGTTGTTCTGCCTACCTTCACAAGATAGCCTGTTTCTACAAACATTTAGAATCTTCCTGGTGTTTCCTTACACAATGCCCATGCTTACTACTATACATAGAGTTGATTCCTGCAGGAAATGAGGTGAGGCAAACTTGATTCACATTTTTCACACACTGTTGGCTGAAGGAGGAATTTTTGCTTTTAAATTATGTATATATATATAAATATATACACACACACACACACAGAGAAATATACAGGATAAATTAAAATCTGTTACAGATATTGGTAAAAGTTAAATACATGTGATATGAACACCACATACACATACATACACACAGACAAAAGCCTAAACAGGAATCAAGTGTTCTCCTGCGGCTCCTCTTCCAGAGGAGCAGAAAACCAAACTCCAAGTATGTGGCTGGAAGGAAGGGAAACTGCCCCAATCAACCCATGTGTGCCTCACGTGGCCGTAACTGCTTCAAACTGGCCACTGGCTACTGCCTTGCAGCAGCACCACAGCTCCTGCAACAGTGCTGGTGAGAGGGATGGGGGATGAGCCATTTAACAAAACAGATGCAAGACAGGCAGAAAAAAATCCAAGTTTGTCCCATCTGCTTCTCTACTCCTTTCCATCAAAGCAGACTGACCATGCCGTGGAAGAATCAGCAGGAGGTTCATTCTCTCAAGCCAACATAATGGGCTGATACATTGTGCTAATGATGATTTGGAGTCCACAGAAAAAAAAATAATTTCTTGTCATCTTCACTTCAAATGCCAGCTACCAGACCAGCCAGCCGACACCGACAACTTTCAGTTATTACTGACTGAGGAGTAGGGGCTGGAGAAAGTGACCAAAAGAAAGAGGCAAAAACCTATCCAGCTTTCCACTCAAGAAGTGGGTTTTAAACAGAAATAAAGTTACAAATAGGGCTGGTGAAGAATTCAGTTCTATTCCTTGGTCCAAAATATATTATCATCTCTACCTGCCCATAGACTACTTTAGTTTAGGCAGGGATATCAGGAGATCATCAGTCCATCTCTCCGCTTAAAACAAGTCCAACTACAGCAGGCTGCTCATTCAGTTTTTGAATATCATCAAGGAAAGAGACTCAAGAACCCCTCTGGGCCACCTGTTCCAATGACCCCTCTCATGGTGACAGCTTTCTTCTTTATATCAAGAAGTCCACTCTCTGCTTCCCCCACTAAATCTTAATTTAAGGCGAATATCTCAAAAGCTTTCTGAATTCTTCATACAAAATACTTTCAGATTGGAGGACATTTCACCCACCAACACAAAAGGGTTTTCTCAGCTTAACTTCACAACTTTTCATAAAATAGAAATCAAATAGTTACAATCCTATGTATATACTATACATATACAAAACTTTAAAAGCCTCCACACGGAGCCCTTTGGGAGCGTCGGTGTAGTGCATGTACACAAGTCAGTTACACAGAGGTTGAGTACATCCCAGGATCCTTTCCCATCAAAGTCCAGGCATGATGTAGGCAATGTTGTCTAGTGTGTTTGACTGGGAAAGGAAATTCAGTGGTTTTTAGTGTCAGGAAACAACTCAAAATCCTTAAAAAATGGATCAGGTTAGGGTTCTAAGCACAGTCACTTGTGTTACAAGTTATGATAGGATAAGACAACCAAATCTGCCTACTGATCACCTTTAATAGCATGTTGGCAAAAAGAAGCGCCCTTCACTTTTTCTTGGAAAACGTAACAGAGTTCTAAGAGTAGGAACCCTTCTCATGCACATCAGAAAAAAAGACCCAGCTGTATGTTTTTCAGATGCAGTGTTTCAGTAAGCTCAAGCCCCTGGCTGGACAGCTGAAGGAGGCCTTAGAAACAACACCTCTAACTGAGAGACGGAGGAGCTGACCTGCATCAGTTGTGATTCTAGAACTTAGCAATGCCACCTACTGTCTCAAATATAAATTGCAACACAACTGCTGGGGTTTATCCGTGGCCTAGAACACTACTGTTGTATCTGACTGTGAAAATCAGATTTATTATCAGCTTCTGAACACCAGTTTACAGAAGTGAAGGGTAGCTGCCATAATTCACCTAAATCTCTATTGCTCCTCATAACAATAAGTTGATCGGGTTTCTAATAAACGCACCACTGGTCATGTGGCATCACTGCTCTGAATAAACTTGGCAAGCAGGAAGGAAAAAAAGCATCAGAGTTTTTCCACAGCTTAAGATGGGAACACCCCACTGACTCAGCTTTTGTGCACAGAGCCAGTTTGTGGGTGTTCACAGACTAAATTGTCAGCTTTGTTCCTGTTGTTGACAACACATTCTCTTAATGAATACACGTTTGGGCTGCCCTATTATGTATGACATGTCAATTCATATCCCATTTGCTCCCTCTGACAGATGTATTTTTAGTTTCCGAACTTCTGCAGACTGTATTTTTTTATTTTTGCTCCTCTCCTTTGCTGCTTTACTCATGTGTCCTTAGGAAGTATGACTCCTGATGGCTACTGTCATCTTAATCAATGTCCACGTCAGGCTACATAGATGCCATGAGCTGTTGCTAAACCAGGGCTCAATGGTAAGAGTAGCTAAAAGTGGAAAATAAACTGTAGTCATGAAGCTCCTTAAGACACAGAGTACTTTTCTTTCCTCAGAAAAGGTTTTGGCCACTTGTAAAAGGTCCTACACCATCACATTAGGAATTCTGAGATCACAAATTGCATTTATGCTACTGAAGGAAAAAGAGCTTGTATGATACAAAGCAGCTAGAAGGTGAGTTTTATTTTTATGGAAAATTAGAACTTTCAAAAATACTGGCATACTTTTATTTGATTCAGATTGACTGACTCCATCATGAATAAAACAGGACCTACCCACACTGCAATCAGTTCTACAAATATTAGGTCAGTTGCCACTGGGAGAAAAAAAAGGTTGCACAGCATTGTACAACAGTAGTATCTGTAAGAATTTCAATAAAT